TTTGATAGTGAAGGCAATGTTTTACATGGCAAGCTATGAGACTTCAGTTGGGAACAAATAAAATATTAAGTAACTAAGTAAATTGTATCTTTGCAAGCAAAATAAAGATGATTTTAAAAGTGCCTGGAGAGTTTTATTTCAAGAGAATTCCGCTTCTGCGGGACTTGATACCCATCTGACACTTTTGCCACTGACATCGAAACAGAAGAAGTGTAACCACATGGCTACCGTTTTGCATCTTGGTGGAGTACCAACTCACTCAGAGTTTTTATTTTGGCCCTCTTTTGCTGCTAATAGGTAGAAGCTGTTTTGCTTGTTACCCAAACACAAGAAGAGCCTGTAGAAAACTGTTTCATGAGTGAATGATGAGAAACGTCAAGACTGTATTCATTTACATGAGATTGCTTTATTGAACAGGATGGGTGATGCAGGCAGGTGAATTATTACAAATTCTGCCTATTCTGAAGGCAGTGCAAGCCCATCAGGCCTGCTGGAATGTGATCCTTCTCTGTAAGTGCGCAGAGAAGTATAGTAAGCCAGTCTCTTAGGACTATCTATAGATGCCACATATCAGCTCAATTTTCTGCTGTGATTATATTGGATAAAGTGTTTATTCTCATACAGGCAAGTGCATCTACTTCTGTTTATTTCTTGCTGAGTTCCCAATAACAGCAAAAGCGCTTACTTTGGGAGACATGAGTTTAAGCACCTTAATTTAAAATATAATATTTTATAAATTATTTTGACTGGGACACAGATCAACTCTTTTTAAGAAATTTTTTAACTTAGAAAATTTTACACAAAATATTTGGAATACAAGAGAGAAAAAAATAAAATGAAAAACGGTACAGTATTCAAATTTTTTTAATGAACAAAGTTTTCCTTTAGGTTAATTTTTAGAATCTCTTTGAAAGGCAATGCTTACTTGCATGACTGTCAACATATCTGAATCTGTTTGAGTCGAACCAAGTCTCAAGCTGAAGAGGTTTCCTTAGCAAATGACACAGCATTCCTTTTAGTGTGCTTTGAAGACATACTTGCATGACCAGCCTCTTTGCTTAAATTGAATGACAGTGTCGCAGGAAGGGTTTGACCACTGTATCAGTCATTAAATATTATGGAAATGTTTTGGTTTTGCACAGTGATTAGTGGTAGAAGATTGTCTGGTTCCATTCCAACACAATGCAGCCTTGTCTTTAGTAGGCGTGGGATCACACCTAGAAGATACAAATGTGGACACCGATGGAGCTTGATCTCAGACAGCAGACCGTGGAGACAGCCTCTGGAGTCAGGCCTCTGCTGGGTGCCCAGCAGTTGTTTTTGAGTTCTTCACTGAGAGCACTGCATCTTGAAGAGGCTGCAACAGGGTCTTCTTCGGTGTCGTTGCTGCTTTTGTTACAAAATAGTAAATTCAAGAGGGAGGGGAGTCTGTATACCTATGGCTGATTCATGTTGGATGTTGGCAGAGACCAGCACGATTCTGTAAAGCAATTACATGCTTCAATTTAAAAAAATTAAATTTAAAAAAGTGAAATCTTATGCACAAAAAAATTTGTTCTGAGTACTGATTTAGACAGATTGACAATGAAAAAAGACTTTTTTTATTTTGAAGGCTTCTCGTTCTGCACTTTGTTCTGGTTAGGAAAATAGACTTGTTTACCAGAGAGAAACAGAACTGCTTATTTTTTTTCCCCACCAACTCCTAATAGAAGAGAAGTAAAATCCAAGGCGCTCTCCTTCATAGTTGACTCGTTCCATCGGTCAGCATTTCACCACTGCGCTGGGTTGTCCATCACCTCAGCATCACCGTCTCCTCCTGTGTAGTCCTTTGCAGTGCAGGGAAGCCAGAAGGTATGTTTTTCTAGAACCAGAACCCCCTTTGTTTTCTGGTGCTAAGAGTGGTCCAACAAGAGGCATTTCCAGGAACTGAGGAAGCAGATAAGGGCAAGGTGGCCCGCCCTCAGACGCCATCCAGGCAGAAGTGTGTGTGCAGGCTGCGGACATGGGCATCACAGCATCTTTGAGATTTCTCACAGGTCACCTGCTCTGGCACTGTGAACAGCCAAGACGGCCGCTGACAGCTCCTTGAGACTCAGCTGGCATCTGTGGTGCAGGCTGGGGTGACAGGAGTCTCCAGACTTCTGTCTGAAGGCTTCCAGATTCACAGGGTCTCCGGGATGCGCTCCCGAGACCTGCCCAGGGCGGTGCCTGCAGACACACCTTCCCCATCCCCCCTTCTGAAGTTTCTAAGTCACTGCACTGAAACCCTTTAGGCTTTCGTCATCACGTGGCGGTTCTGAGTGAACCAAGGTGCAGAGGTTGAAACAGCGTAATTCAGCCTGAAGGGAAAACAGGTTTTCTGCATGTCTTGTCATAGTGAAAGGCACGCTGCTTCACCGAGCCTATTGACTTTGTTAAATCCAGCTGAAACGAAGAAAGACGAACCTGCGGGTTACATCCAGGCAGTTTCTTTACTTCTCACGTGACAGCACTTTTGAGGACACAGATTCCTGAAGAAAGGTGGAGGAAATGGTTTTATCTTCACTGATTGTGGGTGCCGATCTTGTTAAGTATTTCTCGCTGAGAAATGACAAGGTCAGGCTGCTCAAATCTTACGTGTACCGACGAGGTCTGGGAGCCGGGGCACTGAGCCGTCTCCTCCCTCCCTCGCTGTCTCGTTGCTCAGTAAATGTTCGAGTACTTAATTTGGCATTTATTTAGTGTCAGGTTGCTACATGCCTGAGCACAGAGGCTATCAGAGTGAACCAAAAGAATTTGGCCCCTGCCTTTAAGGAGCTTACATTTAGCGCTTGACGTTAGGGAAAAAATGGTGGGTGGGAGAGGGAAGAGTTGAGGGGATGGAGGTGGATTTGTCATTCTTTGGACCACCTATACTTGGGGACCACTCATTCTTGAGGACTGGCTTCCTGTGTATCATGTTCCCTCATTACCAAGTAACTGAATTTCATTCATTTTTCTTACTTAACAGACTACTAGAAAAGTGTCTGAAGAGTAACGACTAATTTGAGAATTGATCTGTATGTATTGTCTCTAGTAACAAGAGCTAAATAACTGACACACTACACAGATTTTTATAGACCCTGTTGCTTCTGGCAGGTTTTTAAGAGGTTGGTCACTTAATTACTCGGAGTGGGATTCCTGTAGGTTCTGTGTAGTGATGGCATTCCTGCTTAAAATGCAAGTGGTAGAAGGCAAAACCAGATTTCCTGTGCAGTCGTTACATGCACAACACCCTTACTTGTTTTAGAGGGAGTCTGCTAGAACTCAACTGAGTCTTTAAATAAACTTGAAAGGGCATTAATTCCCACTTTGGCAAACCCAAAGTACAAATTTTTAAGTGTTTACTGTAAGTACTGTTAGACAGTAGTTACTAACTCCAGTATCTCTTAGCATTGGTGGAAACTTATAAATGCAGTATTTAGCCTCAACAAAGATTTACTGACACTAGTTTCAGTTTCTAGTGCCTTCTGGAAGTTTTATATCAGTGTTGAATGGTACATCTGAAATACTGAAATCAGACCAGGATAAAAGGAACCAAATTCACATCTTCAGAAACTAGAGTTTTAGCCCAAGAGTAAGGGTAACTTGCATAGCTGAAGACCTAATCATGAAAAGCTTTCATGAGTAGTTAACTGAAAAGTAAGGCATAACTGTAGCAAGGACAGACAAGGAGATAGAAAGTATGAATGACAGGTGATGAGACCTGAAGGGTTGAATGAGAAGATCTAATCAGAGTCTGAAATGGAAGGAGATGACTGTTGAGAAATTGCAAAAGCTAGTCAAAAACATGACTTCACAAATACAAGAAAAAAAATGTGTACCAAACAGGATAAGTAAAAGGAAACCAATGTAGTTTCCATACAAGGAAACAAGAACAACAAAGACAAAGCGATCTTAAAAGCAGCCAGAATAAATAAACATCACATAGAAAGGAATGATCAATTGACAGCCAACTTTTCAGTGCCAAAAATTGAAGCCAAAAGACAGTAGAATAA